CTCATCTTCTTTTCAAGAAACTCTTTATCATCACAAATTGCTCTCAATTCTTGTCTGGCATGTTCTGCAGCATCAGAAAAGTGTTGTTGGCATTCCTTCAAGAAACGCACCACCTGCAATTTGCTCGAACTTCCATAACTTGAGATTATGGCTTCAGAAAAAGGAGCTCTGCTCAAAACTGAGCATGAGACTCACCGCTGTATCGATTACGGTGCTTCTTTGCTCATGCTTGGCACAAGTGAGCAGTCGCTTCAGTTGATCCTGCATGTGTGAGGAGGAAGGATAAGAGTCGCACTGAACGATACACATTTCATTTTCACAGATGAATGCTGAACAGCGGAAAGGCTCACATCTCGGAAATTTCTCAACGGAAGCAATCAGACGACATATTGGAAGTACACTTTCATCCTCTTCAGAAATATCACTGGAAGTTTGCGTTCCTACGTTGCATTTCTCAGGAGACTGGCGGCGAATCTCCTAAACATGGAAAACTCCACTTAATATCGTCGAGACGTAGGTTCAACACTGAAAGAGGAAAACGTGTTGTCGATACTGCAAAACAAATCTGAACAAACCCTGTTGATCAGCACTAGCACTAGCAGCTGGCAGAATTGGGACGAAAGTTTCACGCATCTCTTTGATCGCCTCAGCTATAGACATCGATTCCTAGATCACAACACAATACTAACCAAAATGGTACAATAAAGAAAACTTGAAAAAATCACCCACATTCGCAGCCTGCTCTGCAAGTTCTCGAAGTGCTGGTGGAACGTAAGTCATAAACCGACCAACTGCACTTCTCAATTTGTTCCACACTTGTTCCTTTGTCACAGCGGTCGATGGAAATGAATTGGCCGGAAATACATTACACTACAAATGAGTCGATGTTTCACCAACACTTAAAAACTCTAACGTGATACTAGTTAAGAAGAAAGTTTCCAGCCAGTTTGGTGAATAAAACATTTCGGCTGTGGCGCTGCTATCATGCATTTTCGTGCCAAGCGCATATGATACTCATACCCAAGAGAAC